GGGCCTCCTGCGATCGGACATATGATGGAACTACATTAGGCACAAGGATGTGTATTTTAAAAGGTCATTCTCTGAACTTCATTAAAACCGGGGGTGTCTTATTACACTATTAATATAAAAGCCGAGGAGCTCCTCCGGTGTCAATTTTTGTTCTGAACTTCATCGCTCTGCTGCACTTCGACAACAAAAACAGCAAAATGGAAGGAAAACAACCGGCTTTGGTTACCAAAAGTACTAACCTCTAACCACATGTGATGTGCAATGTACAAAATGATTATGTATCCTTGTGATAGATGAGCTGAGGAGTGGAACCTTTTATCATGTAGACGAGGACCTTGCTGCTGGTATTGACCGCCACATGCTGCAACAGAGGGCCGAAGACCAGACCAGGGCAAAGTGCGACGACGTGCAGCTCGTTCTTCTCTCCGTATTCCAGGGCCGAAGACCGGACTATCCAGACGGTTAAATTTTGTGGAGCTTGCTTAATGTCCTAACATGCTCGGATGTATGAGGAATAAGATTTTACCTTGGATATGACCATTTGTGTGATTTATTTGTATGTATTGTAGCCTGGGGGGACTATCCAGACGGTTAAATTTTGTGGAGCTTGCTTAATGTCCTAACATGCTCGGATGTATGAGGAATAAAATTTGACGTTGGATATGACCATTTGTGTGATTTATTTGTATGCATTGTAGCCCGTAGCAACGCACGGGTGTACTACTAGTGTTCATAACTCTGCAGTCACTACTTTTAGAGTACTCCTCCAGAGTCCGCTTTCTCTTGACGGAAGTGAGCACGAATGCACAATTTTTACATTTGCATCCATCCTGAATGGACTAGTGGAGGAGTCGAGAAATAGAGACCTAACCCGTGCTTATTTTTGCAAAACACATTTCATGATGTTTCAGGCCAAATGCAGAATCAATGGCACAATTATGGGATCATTCTCATTCCTGGATAGGCGGCATTCGGTAGATGAATGGAAGCCGACATGGTTCGTCGTCTGTAACCCCAAGAAGCCCTGCTTTTTCGTAGGACTCGATACAATCCACGAGTGTCTCCTCCATCTTCCTTGGTTTCCACCCTAAATTCTTCAGCTTGTCCGAAGTGACTCCGACGTTAAAGTCCACATCAACCATCCTGCCAACCCAAAATTTTGTAATGAAAATCCTTCGTAGTATATGATAAGCAAGTTATGACATGGTGTTGATAGTCTTGATGCCATGGCACTTACTTGTCTGCATAAGTGTAGCTAGGGTACATGTTCTTCATGATTGCCAGCAAATCCTTTAGGTCCATTTGGTCCAGTGAGCATATGTATCTCTCAGATGGCCCTGCCTTGTTGTACAACAGGAGCAATGCGTCGGTAACATCGCGAACGTCTACGATGGGAAAGAACTTGTTGTTCATCGTGTCAGGGCCTCCTGCTATCGGACATATGATGGAACTACATTAGGCACAAGGATCTGTATTTTAAAAGGTCATTCTCTGAACTTCATTAAAACCGGGGGTGTCTTATTACACTATTAATATAAAAGCCGAGGAGCTCCTCCGGCGTCAATTTTTGTTCTGAACTTCATCGCTCTGCTGCACTTCGACAACAAAAACAGCAAAATGGAAGGAAAACAACCGGCTTTGGTTTCCAAAAGTACTAACCTCTAACCACATGTGATGTGCAATGTACAAAATGATTATGTATCCTTGTGATAGATGAGCTGAGGAGTGGAATCTTTTATCATGTAGACGAGGACCTTGCTGCTGGTATTAACCGCCACATGCTGCAACAGAGGGCCGAAGACCAGACCAGGGCAAAGTGCGACGACGTGCAGCCCGTTCTTCTCTCCGTATTCCAGGGCCATCTCCTCGGCTTCAGTCTTTGCAAGAGAGTACCAGTTCTGCCAACACAAACACGAATAACACTTATCCCTGACAAGAACTCAGTAAAACTGAAGATGTTACTCTTTTAAGATTTTGGTGGCACCGTGGCAGATTTTAATTAACGATCAATGATTAATTGCTGAGCGCTGACCTCAGTCTGTCTGCAGAACTCCTTGTCTGACCAGCAGCTCTCGTCTTTGATTTTATCTCGAGGCCAGTCCGGGTTGAAGATATTAGTGGCGATGGACGAGACCACAATGAGTTTATGAACTTTCGTAGCTGAGCAGGCCTTGAGCACATTCATGGTGCCCTTGACAGCAGGTTCCATCATCTCTTTCTGCACAATTTTTCAAGTTTATCAGTAAGAACAGCAGAAGGGGTTATCCATATAAGCACAGAGTTTTCTGAATGAATATTTTATTCATTTTTCTATTGAAAAGAATCAGCTCTCAGAAGAAAAGCATCTTGACATCAGTGACCAGTAGCACTCGCAGTCAAACTCTGAGCTCATCAAAATATATTAGTATTTTTTCAATTCCATCCCAAACTAACAGTTTTTTTTTTCAAATCTAGCTTGCATAATACTAACAGTTAGTTTTTTTTTAAGATCAAGCTTGAATAATACTAATGGTTACTCGCATAAATTTCTCTTTGGAATAGTTGCAGTTAAGCGAATTTGCACTTGCCTGTGGATCAACCATCTTTTGGTCGGGCACTGGAGTGGCGACATGGAAGACGCCCTCGCAGCCGGCGAACGCGGCCGCGACCGTGTCGCAGTCGAGCATGTCCGCCTTGAACAGCCGCAGGTTCGCCGGGGCTCCGTCCAGCTCCGTCAGGAACGCGTTCTTCGGATCACCTGCAAGAGAAACCATGCATCGACCCGGAAGATGAACAGTAAGATGCAGAAATTGAGCAGTGAGTGAGTTCGTGAGCCGTGTCGTCAGGGGCGGCTGTCGGTGGTGGTTGCGTACGTGGGTCGCGGACGGTGGCGTGGACGGCGTAGCCGCGGGAGAGGAGCAGCTTGACGAGCCACGAGCCTATGAACCCGTTGCCGCCGGTGACGCACACGCGGGGCGGCGCCGGGGACGACGTCGCCATCTCCTGTTGTTGTGGTGTTCAGAGTTCAGAGAAGGTTGGAGGACGCGAGAGTTTTCGTTATCGTTTCTCACAGGACAAACGGGCCCCGCCATTCTTGTCTCACCGTCTCTCGCCACAAGCGGCTCGTGACCTTGTGTGGATGGCTTCTCGCGCACTGACAAAGCGGGGGCAACGCGGCTGACAAAATTTACGATGACATATCCGGTGTAGGCATAGATTGAAAAACCGGACCGGTGATCCGGTTCTGCTTTTATAACAGGTCGAACCACCGGTTCACCTTTTCAACCGTTGGTTGCTTAAACAAAAAAAAATGTATAAAAATAGAAAGTCCTTCATATCTATATTAGTTGTCGCTCAAACAGATGTATCTATCACTGACATATGTCTAGATACATCCGTTTTAGCGTCTTTTAGATACATTCATTTGAGCGACGTGCTAGATACATTCGTTTGAGCGACAACTAATATGGATTGGAGGCCATGAACTTACGCTTCGGTAGATGGTATGTGGGTCGAGCATCTCTACTCCTAATGAAGCAGTTATGAATAGTCCACACGATTAATTTTCGCTGGTTTTATTTTGTCTACCCTCTCACCTCCCTCAAATCGTTGGGTTTTTTTCGTCTATCGTCCCGCTCGCAACCCTCCCGCAAAAAAAAACCATGCCAAAAAAAAAAACCCACGACCTCCCCTCCCCTCACTAGCCCTACCTCGTCTCCCGTCTCCAGTCGCAGCCGCCGACACACCTGCCGATCCCTGCGCAGCGCACCCATCCCCGCCGCCCATACCTGCCGTCCCCTGCGCCACCCATCCCCACCTCGCTCCGCCCGCCGCCTCCCCTTCACGCCGGCGCCCACTCGCCTCGCCTGCACCGGTCGCCACGCGCTCGCCCCGCAAGGCAAGGAGCTCCCTTCCCCAGCCCGATCTGATGGAAAGAGGTCCAAGCCTTAACGGTCCGGTGTTCGTTGTGGCCATATCCGGCTGTGGGAGCCACCGTAGAGCCTCCATGTCGGTGGAGCAGAGCAGCCCGACAGAGGTGGGTGCCTGATCTCGTCCCGCAGATCACCTCCACTAGGTGCCCCGGCGGTTCGGACCCCCACCTGGCCCCTCCCTCGAACCCAGCGAGCCTCCGTCCCGGCCTACTTCCCGCGCGAGGTCGCCTCCGCCTCCTCCTGGCGCACCGCCGCCCCCACCATCTGGATCGATGTCCCACTTGAGTTAGCCGTGAACGATATGTTGAAGAGCAAGGGGGCACAGGCTATTTCAGACCCTGATTCGTTTTCTTAGGTTCTTTTCCCTTCTGCAAATTCCACCCTCCTCATGATTTTGTTATTTTTGTTTTCTTGAGACGGGGTGACTTAGATAGCCTTGTACTGTTTACACTTGAATAACTGCGATTCAGATTCAGCAGACATACTAAAAGGGCTGGTTCTCTTTTGGCTCTGCATTGCTTCTTAAACATCAGTCTAATTTAATCCATCCGTGTAAAAACTGGATCCAAATTTGGTCTGTAATGCAACAAGTGTAAACTCAGAGTGTGGACTTTGCGGGTCTAGCTTCAGTGTGTGCTGTGTTCATCATGGTTATGTCCATGCTGCATATGAATGGAGCATCCTTGTGCTCATGTGATCTTGCTTGTATACACCCTTCACATAAGATGGATACAGAGCCTATGATACCTTGCATTTGCATTAAAATGGACAATCTTTTTTCGTTCTGACATGTGCATCTTGAGCTTACGATCTATTGAATCACAGTGGAGATATTATGCCTGGAGGCAATGGCAAAGCTCCGTCAGTGTTATGATGATCTGAAAGAGCGGTATGTAGTTTCTGATGTTACTGTTTCAGTACAGAGTAAGCCGACAACATCCAAAATCCTTTATTCACTTTGAACATAGTTGATGTGTTTTCTGTGGTTGGGGGAAACCCTATTGACGTTCTCTTGAACTGAACACCTTCCAGACGTGGCTTCTCAGCTAGGCTACAGAAGCATCGACTCTTTGAGCCTGGAGGACATGGTCATTGAGGTATGCAATATAAGCTGCCCGCAACCCGATGCCCTCCACGGACACCACCACCATGATGGCGGAAGGAAGAGCAAGAGGGTTCGTCGAGGCTGGGTGCCGCCGTGAGGATGCTGGTGCCCGTGCACGGTGATGGCATTGTGGCAGAAGGTCTTCTTCCGGGGGAGCCGCGCCTAGCCTCCGTCTCCACCCGCAGCCACGCTAACAAGATAGGTACTCCGCCGCGCCCTAGACATATTCCCTACTCCGGTGCACGTATGGTCAAGCATGTATCGCTTATCTTGCCCCATACGGCCTTGGCAGATCTCAATGCTTGCTTGCTAATGTGCGTGTGTGGATGTTGCTGGTTGCTGCTGCTGTGCATGTCTGCTTGGTGTGCCCCTGCTGTTTTGTGTTCTCACCACCACATCCATGACAAATAAAATTTCTTAGTTTTCTTAGAATGGTGTGTGCCATGATCTTCATGCCAGGCAGGGTTTACATTACGCATGTGGACAACAGGATTTTGATGTCCAGTTAAATTATCACATGGTTGTGCATATGCACTATCTATTAAACCGACAATCGTTGTTTTCAGGTTCAGGTTCGATATGTCAGGGCTAAACTAAGCTCGTCAGTTAAAGAAAGACCTCGAGAGACTCTGTAGGTACGGTGCTATTGTTAGTGTGTTGTTGTCAGTACTACTCCAATACTTTGGTGTGTGGTTGCATAGTACTCCAATACTTTGGGGTAGTAAAAAATGTATACGTGGTGGGAAAGCATCAGTCGTTCGTATTTGCAGAATAGGGAAATCAATAAATAATACCATTAAGAAAGCATGCATGGTATAGTGAATACTTAGTATACCAGTCATATTTTCGCGGCAACATGCACCTATTTGGAGGCTTATCCGATATTATTGCAATCTGGTAGAACTGACATATACTCCCTCCGTCCGGAAATACTTGTCATCAAAATGAATAAAAGGAGATGTATCTAGATGTATTTTAGTTCTAGATACGTCCCTTTTAGTCCATTTTGATGACAAGTATTTTCAGACGGAGGGAGTACTTTACTGGAGCTAGCACCTCATGCATAGTTATTGTATCAACCAGAAAGAAACTTCCGATCTACCATTTTACAAAACCAAATTGTATAGTGAGTAATTGAAGTGAAGTTGTTTTGGGCACCCAAAGATAATTCTGTTTGTATATTCCTGCCACTTGTATGGTTACAAGAAGCTAAATGTTGTTTTTCTTTTTTATGTTCTCGGTAGAAACCCTGTCATCCTTTTCTATCCACATGATGCTTAGGGGCCGTTTGGATTACCACCAACGCCGACCCTATCAGTTTTTTGGCATGCCCTTGCGATTTGGACCCTGTTTGGACCATCGCTAAAATATTGGCTCGCCCCAAAGGCTCAGTGTTACTTCTGCCAACTCGTGGGCGCATCGAGGGCGCCGAAATTGGTCGCCAAAAAATTGGCGAGCACATTCCTCGCCGGCTGATACGAGGATCTCGTGTTAGTGTTTTTTAATCTCGTATAGTTCAAACAATCGGTGCAGCGGATTAATTGGCTGAGTATTTCTTTGGGTCGTTGTGATCACTTAGATCGCGCAACTAATTCTGTTTATCACAGTCCAATAGCCGGAGAAGAAATTGTACTACCAAATTACGGTTGTTTGTCTCTTTTTCCTTTTTTGCGAATGAAATTGTCTCTGTTTTCGTAAAGGCAGCTGCAAGTTTCGTTGAGCACAAAAGTTGTATCTTTTCATTGTTTTTGTGAATGACCCATTTCATTTCTTTCTGCATGCTACAGTTAATTAAGTGTCCATATTACAAAAATAAAATTTTGAGTTTATTTGTTATTGGCTCAACATTATAACTAAAAACACAAATCAATTCAAGTTGTCAAACCAAATGTAATATCTGCCAACATTTTGGAAGGTTCAGTGGCTATAAACCAAACAATAACAACTTGCCAATTTTTTGGTCATGCCCTCACTTTGGTCATGCCAAAAATTTGATAGGGCAAATTGGGGCACAAACCCAACACACCCTTACTATTTTTTGTACTTGTTCGTCACCAATCAATAAAACATTGTGTATTCATTACATATGGTGAATGGCCTTCTAGATTTGTGAGTTCATAGGTAGTTATACAACAGCAGAGCCATGTTCTAAAAACAGATTCGAGCCTTTCCTTGGTTTGGAGTTGGGTCCCGAAGAAACGTTCGAGCGCATGAAATCAGTTCTTTTCAAGAATGCAATTGCTTTTTTTCTCTCATAGATTCCACTCGTAACATATCACAAGTATCTTCAGTCTAAGAAAATAGGAAAAGTGAACTTACATGATTTATTTAAATTACTAAATAACTTACTAGATAATGTATATTTCCGTTTGAGCATTCCGAAAACTGAATGCCACTCCATTAAGTTGTAGGATGCATAAGGTAAGGAAAATATAGGAAGCCCAGACATCTGTAGTAATACCAGAAGTGGAAGAACAAGGGCAAGAAAATATGTAAAAGGGCCAATGATAGGCGAAAAAAGATTCACGTGGTTAATATAGTTCATGTTTTGCACCAAGGAAGAACAGAGGAATGGAAGCAAAGAGAAATGAGTGAGCATACACCTTTGCTACTACCTCTCTCTCAGTTTACAGGGCGTGCGCGTATCCCTAAGTCGTCAATTTGACCAACCTAATACAAGTCATATATTACAAAAAGTATACCAATATAAACTTTAGATGTTCTATTTTCAAAAGATATAATTTTTGTGTTATACAGTTTATATTAAGGTGATCAAATTGGCAACCTAGGTATACGCGTAGGACTTGTAAACTGAAACGGAGGTAGTAGATTTTATGAACTGAACTAATGTACAAAAACACATATTGTTATCTTGGTGCATATAGTTATTTAATTTAACAACTTGAATTCCACATGAAGCGTACTGTATTGGACTTCTCTGGGCTTTACATGTGCTCATATTCCATAATTTGGATCAGAAATGAAGCCTATGCGTATGTATAAAGCATTTGCATTATACTAATATTGTGTGTGTTGTTCTCATGAACTCCATAGCAGATATCCCGATTCAAAGTAATATAGCCAGAGATGTTAACATTTGTTGTTGGAAACACAAGCACTAATTTTTTTATTGCATTTGAACTAGATATGGTTGTATCTTAGAGATTGTTGCTTTGGACAGGATTTACTATATTTTGCAGCAGGCTACATGCTTCTCTGAATGACCATTTAAGGAGTGAACATGAATTGCTGATGTATATGTTCCATGCTCCATGGGGAGGGAACAAGGATTGATTTTCGCCAGGAGTAGGGAGAGTATGGTGAGTTACTTCTATGCTTTAAGGGGCTTCCAGAACTACTTGATTGTGAAACAAGTCACTAGGTACTGCTCAGATCAATTATATGGATTGTACCACCGTCTGTTCAAGCTGTAGAAACTCCTATCCCTGAATTTCTATTTATTGGAACCATTAGATTTATTAGTATTTTAGTCATTACATTTCTACAGAGGCTATGTGAAGCAAACAAATTCCTATCCCTTTTAAATTTTAATACATGTAATGTACTACTCCCTCCGTCCCAAAATACTTGTCATCAAAGTGGATAAAAGAGGGTGTATCTAGATGTATTTTAGTTCTAGATACATCTCTTTTTATCCATTTTGATGACAAGTATTCTCGGACGGAGGAAGTACATGTTAGTAAGGAGCTGACACTCTTGGACGGTGAGAAATTATTGACGTTTGGTAATGAGAAATTATTGATGTTTGGTATAGAAATATAATTACATGAAAAACATAGTTTAATTATTGATGTCATAATTCTTTTTGGCCATACCTGCATATTTACAACCCTCTTATCTTTATTACTACACTGTTCTTTGCTATACATGATAGTTCAGCTGTGAAATTGACTACAGCTTACACGCATACTTACCAGACTTGCGTAACAGAAGCACAAACACAAATGGACACTCTGCAGTTGTATCAGACACACCACCACAAGACATGATGTGTGCATCAGAATTCTTAGCAACAACTGTTACGACCGTGCAACGCCAAGATTGCTAGCGACAAGGATTTGAGGAGGACAAGACGGTAGCTATCGACAAGGATTCAAGAAGGACCAGATGCCACGGTAGTGGTTGTAATATTAGTCGAGACGAATCTGAAAAAATTGAGTTGAGATGTGGAGATACGATGGATTTTGCAAAAAAAAATGAGTAAATTTTTGCTACAAAGAACATATTGGTGTGCATGTACTGATTGCACTTGCTTCATGGCGCAATATGTTTATCCTGCTACGAAAAATGCATTATTTTTTATTAGAGAAGGGGGGTTCCAAGGCAGAGATAGCGAGTAGAAGAAAAGTTATCTACCATAAAAGACGACAAGGTCACATGACATGCACTGATTGCATTTGCTTTATGGCGCAATATGTTTATCCTTTTATTAAAAATGTATTATTTTTTATTGGAGAAGGGGGATTCAATGGCAGAGATAGTAGGAAGAAGAAAAGTTATCTACCATAAAAAAGGTCACATGACATGCATGATGATCCTAATGTTACATGTTAGACATGTCTTTAATGGAAAGGGTTCCAACAAAAAAAAAAAGAAATGTCTCGCTATGGCAGGAAAACGAGTAGTAAGGGGAGGGCCCGGCAGAAAAAAGAGAGACCACGTGTTGGTGATAACAGTTGGATAGTCTGGACAACCATATTTCTCCTCCAGAGTAATGCTACATCTAGGGGAAGTTCTTTTACGGGTTCAACGGACTATTGACTGTGGACCAACAGAATTTAAGATAAGGGAAGGATGGGGCCAACCCCAGCTGAAAATCAGGGGGAGAAAGATGAGTTAGAAGGAGATTCTCTATAACTCTCGTAAGGGTCCGTGCGTCTAGGATTATTGTCTCCTTCATATATGGTATGTATTTAAGATAGTTCAGACTGTTTAGATGAATAAATTTTATGAAAACAAATTCATTCTTATGCATTGTGGCCTGTAGCAACACACGGGCATTTTACTAGTAGCTCTACAGCCTGAGCCGCCAGGTGACTTGAGTTTATTCCCCCCGGAGCAAGTCTTTCCTACTCTCTGTGCTATAGCATGACAATTTTCTCCGTTAACATGTCTCTACATTTTTCTCTACGATAGCATTTGTTATAGCATGACAATTTTCTGAGGTGGCCATGGGTCTCCGCAGGAGCTATATCTCGCTTATAGCGAGATGGTAGCTCCCCTAGCCTGAACCGCCCTGCAGCGCCCATGCGTATGGGCCGGCCCACTCGCGTGTTTCTTGGTCATGCATTCGTTCCTTCGTTCTGATCGTTGTTGTGTTTCTTTAAGTCTCTTTCGCTTTTTTAGTATTCTTCGGTTTTTTAAAAAACTTGCTGGTTATTTTTTTCGTTATCGTACTTCAGTTTTCTTTGTCGTTCCACAAGTTTTTGACGTTTTTTCTTTCTTCTTTGTTATTATACTTCAGTTTCTTTCTTTTCTTCTTGTTTTTTCATATTTCTTTGCTTTTTTCGGTTTTCTTGGTTCTTTCTTTTCTTTTTTTTCAAAAAGTCTGACAATTTTTCTTACACATTTAATATTTTCTGTGTATGTCAAGAATATTTTCTTAATAATGGTTGAACATTTTTAAATACATTATTAACATTTTTTTGAAGAGATTGACAATTCATCACCCTGGGCCTGGAATAGTTATTGTTCACTTCTCCTCAATTTTAACATCAATGCACCGTAATCTTACATTTCACAAATTTTATGTTATTTCAGACGAAAAAAGAGACCGTAAGAAAATACATAATCACCATAGAAAAAATTATGTTACCTAAAATTACTAATGTAAAAACATAGTGTAAAATATACATAAAATGCAATTTTTCTGGTCTTATGATCTCAAATTTATTTTATCATGCCAAATTTTACGTAGTGAATCAATATGAATGTAACTATTTGTATTCCAAATGTAACTTATTTATCAAACGATTGTAATATTACCTCGGGTGAAGAATAAATTATTCTGCACCCTGGGTGATGAATAGTCAATCTATTTTCTCAAATATATTTTTTTATGTCTATTGTTATCATATACATTATACATTTTTTATATACATATGAAATGCTTTTCTATACACAATTAACCTTTTTCAAATACATTAGTAAGATTTTTTTGCAAATATATGTTCTGATGTGTATTGGTCTCATACACATTTTACATTTTTGGTATACATCCAAAACATTATTTTATACAAGTTTAAATATTTTTATATACATAAATAATATGTTTTTAAATATGATTTGATGTCTTATGTCTATGTTTTTTCATACACATTGTACATTTTTTCTTATACATCCAAAACATTCTTTTATATATGTTTCAACTATATGTTTTGATGCTTATTGTTTTCATATACATTAAATATTTTTGTTATACATATAAAACAGTTTTTATTTTTCATACACATGATTAACATTTTGTCAAATATATGTTTTGTTGTCTAATTTTTCTGTATGCATTGTACATTTAATTGTACACCCGAAACATCCTTTATAGACATTTAACATCCTTTTGAACTAAAGTAACATTTTTGTACATTCTATAAACTGTTTTTTAAAAACTTCATGTACATGTTTTTGAAACGCATGAACATTTTGTAAATGTCACAAACATTTTTTTAAGGCTATCAACATTTTTATGCTAACAAAAAAATTACACTGAGTTAACATTTTTCAAATTCCTGTTTTTTTTTAATAAATTAAGTTTGGAATATGTATGTATTTAAAATTTAATCTAAAATATTGGAATGACCCATTCTTGCGGCTGGGAATACTGGGCCGGCTCACCGGTGCATCTTTGACGCAAGTGTACGCTAGGTCTCGCGGTAAGCGAGACATAGTCGCACCCATGGGTTTCACTTGTCAGCCTCACATCTATCCCCACTCTTCTTCCTCCCTCCCGCCCTCTCTCCTAAATCCTCTCCCTGCCACTGATGCTCCCCTCCTCTAGCTCCATGTGGGCGACCCCACCCAGCCCCTTCTCCATCAACATAATGTCGCGGCAGTTGGTCCTAAATTGCCACTAGACTGTTATTCCATCCGTCCAATAAGTAACATATGTAGCATACTTTTTTACAGCATATGCAACATATTTTTTTACAGCATATGCAACAGCTTATATTATACTAGGACGGAGGGAGTACTACTTTATTTGCCACTGATGTATGATTTATTCATTTGGAGGAACTTCTTTTTTTTGCGAGAGAAAGAAAAGTGTCATGTTCAACATGTTGACGTCACCTTTTTGTAACTTGCATCAGATGGCGGCATTTAATATCCAGGACCAGGAGGCTCTAAGTTCAAAGGAGAAATTGAGATGATCATCGATCAGGTCATTTGAAAATCACGGATCACAAGTATATGTGGTTCCAGTAATCGCTGAGAGATTTTCTGTTACTTCCTTTTTGCACAATAAGAACATACAAACATACATAGTATTGGCACCCCTGTTAGTTGTTTGTGAAATTAATCATTAATCATGAATCTATTTTTGTTGAGTATTTAACCAAAAACTACCACAGTTGACGGAAACGTGACGAAAAACTACCACTTTACGTTTTTGTGCGAAAAACTACCAAATTTGGACTAAACCGTGGCAAAAAACTACCAACTCGGGAAATCGCTCGCTTCGCCCGCGCTAACCCCGAATCTGACCGGTTGGGCCCGCGAATCAGTCGCCACGCTGGCGAACGGACGGCTGCCGCGCGTTGACGGCCGTTAACGGCCCGTCCGCTGTCGGAACGACGCCTGTCGGTGCGGTGCGGGTCAAGATTTGATCCGTTACCCTCTCGATTCACTCTCTCCCTCCTGTCCCTCTCTCTGAACTAGGATTCTGCCGCCATGTCCTCGTTGATTTCGGAGGGTGGCGGCGACGCGGGCGGCGGCGACGTTGGCGGAGGCGACGCTGGCGGAGGCGACGCTGGCGGCGGTGAGACAAGTTTGGACGCCGCTGCCTCGCCCGCGCCTCCACCGATGGCCAGCGGCTCAGTCGATAATTGGTTGGGGAGCACCAGTTTCTCGACGCAGGCCGGCTCGCAGCAGCCGGAGGCACCGCTCTCCCAGTCATCGCCAATGGGTCACAGGTATGCAAGTATCATCGCCAATGTTTCTGTTAGTTGGACATGTGTAGTAAACTGGAGTCAGTAAACTGTATAGCTCAGTCAATTTCAATTTAATTCATGAGCACTTATTTGTGCAGTTTGGCTGACCAGAAGTGGGAGATATGGTTTCATTTAGAAGGAAGAAACCCTTTGAAAAGGTGTATATTTGAGTCAGATATTTCTTTGCTTACTCTACAATCACTCATTGCTAGTGAAGGGTATGGGGACAGTGATTACATATACTATGTGAAGGAGGAGGAAATTGGATCTGAAAGAGTAAAGTATTTAGGTAATGAAGGTAGTGTTCATGAAATGTTGGACTTTTTTCATCATGTCAAGCTAGTGAACATAAGGGTTGTGAGAAATGTTGAACCTGGAATTAGTATACAGGCTAATGAGAATTACATTAACACTCAAGAGAGTTGCTGTGTGAAAAAGGTTGTGAAGCAATCTGAGCTTCAGAATCAAATAGATGATAGAAAGGCTCAGCTTGAGAGGAGCAGGATTCAAAGAGAGGCAGATTTAAACCACTTTGAAGGAGACACTGAAGTGTCTAAATTTTGTTCTGAGGATTCAGTTCAGTCAGATGGGAGTGCTGAAGCTGTTCAACCAATGGAAATAGTGTGTGCCTCTGAAGAGGATACAACATTGGAAACTACTGCTATTGTCAAACATGTGAAGAATCCTGGTCCAACTAGCAGATGTCACAAAGAGCTAGAGAAAAAACGTTTTGAAGATTGGTTTCCTGAAGCAGATGAGTTTTGTTTTGCTGGTGATGCAGGCATAAGTGATGAGGAAGAAGAAGATGTTGAACTACCATACCTCATGAAGAAGCCAAACACAAAGAGTAGTAA